TCAAAAAAAAAATCCAGCGGTGGATTATTGCGAGCTAGCAATCTCAAAGGGAAAAAAAGATCCCCAAACAGTAAAATTATGAAATTTCACAGCCTTTCTAACTTTCTGGCCTTGATAGCAATTAGTTACACAGCTTGCAAATGTACATATTGCTCCAAAAAGAGCAGCATACAAAATATGTAGAGAGTCTCATCTTCCCACATTCCTACTTCCCACCTGTTTAAAGGCTGAACAGGATAACTCCACCGGGATTTATACTACAGTAGTAGGACAAAAAAAACCTACAAGAGTAACAAGGAAGTAGGTTTTAAGCAAGTCTCTCACTAACTGTCTCTTTAACCCAGTTCTGGTGGGAATATGCTGCATGAAGCGTTTGTAAAGCGCTCTGTTCAGCACTGGTGGAAGTCCCCTGTAAAGCTTCGAGCTCCCCTGTGGTCAGCTGCTGAAATATCAGTCCAAGCTCTGAAATGAGCACCTCTTAACTATAGCACAAAAGCGGGAATGCATCAGCAAAACCAAAGGAGGTTATTGCCATTCTTAGGGGAGTCAATATATTTTGGTACATTGACAGGACAGGCTAATGTTAATTGCATATTTAAAATAAACATGAAGTATTATTTACAGCATATAAAAATTTCAGCTCAACAGTTCTATATTAAAAAAAAAGTGGTTTACAGGTATCTTCTGTTCTGGTGTAGTGGATGAATCTCTCCTTCTCCTTAGCTTGTTTTTTTTTTGTTTGGTTGGTTTTTGTTTGGTTGGTTTTTGTTTGGTTGGTTTTTGTTTGGTTGGTTTTTGTTTGGTTGGTTTTTGTTTGGTTGGTTTTTGTTTGGTTGGTTTTTGTTTGGTTGGTTTTTGTTTGGTTGGTTTTTGTTTGGTTGGTTTTTGTTTGGTTGGTTTTTGTTTGGTTGGTTTTTGTTTGGTTGGTTTTTGTTTGGTTGGTTTTTGTTTGGTTGGTTTTTGTTTGGTTGGTTTTTGTTTGGTTGGTTTTTGTTTGGTTGGTTTTTGTTTGGTTGGTTTTTGTTTGGTTGGTTTTTGTTTGGTTGGTTTTTGTTTGGTTGGTTTTTGTTTGGTTGGTTTTTGTTTGGTTGGTTTTTGTTTGGTTGGTTTTTGTTTGGTTGGTTTTTGTTTGGTTGGTTTTTGTTTGGTTGGTTTTTGTTTGGTTGGTTTTTGTTTGGTTGGTTTTTGTTTGGTTGGTTTTTGTTTGGTTGGTTTTTGTTTGGTTGGTTTTTGTTTGGTTGGTTTTTGTTTGGTTGGTTTTTGTTTGGTTGGTTTTTGTTTGGTTGGTTTTTGTTTGGTTGGTTTTTGTTTGGTTGGTTTTTGTTTGGTTGGTTTTTGTTTGGTTGGTTTTTGTTTGTTTGTTTTTATTTTGCCAAACTAGGAAGTTAAAGAATAGCACCACAGATCATGTTAAAATATTTCAGGACTTTCAGGTATTGAAATTCGGACTAAAAGCCTAATGAAAAGCACAGTGTCTTCCAGAACCCTACATGTCCACACACATCCCTAGTGACAGGTTGGGGGCATGAATAAGTTCTGATATTTAAAAAAAAATAAAATCATAAAGCTGCTGAAAGTTATAGATGGAAAAACCCTATTAGATCATCTAAACCACCACCCCGCTGCCGCACAAAGATCTCAAGTGCATTCTCTGGCACCCTCCAGACTCTAAATCTTTAGTTCAAGTCTGAAATGGTTTAGATTGTAATGAAGGCCTTGCTGAAATAAAATAATTTTAATTGTCTGGTTTTGTTTGTGACTAGGAAGACTTTAGACTCTGCAAGATGAAGATACAAAAGGGGAAAAAAGCCACTGTGTTAAGTATTTTTCACTGTCTATGGTACATCTCCCTTTTACTTCAGCTCTGTTTCTGGTTTCATTTTCACAGTTCACACAAACTAACTAATCATACAACAAATACACTAGGCTGAAGGGTTTTTTTTTGTAATTTTTGCTGCCCTTTTTTTTAGAGTTTCATGAAAACCACCTGTTGGATTCAAGAAGGTTTTATTTTCACAACCTATATAGGAATTGAATAATTATACTTTTAAAACATGCTTTTTGCTCTGGCACATTTAAAAAAAGGGCAAAATAGATTCAGACTTGAAGGCTTCCTGTAAACATAATACAGAATTAAGCTCTGTGAATCTAATATCAACAGAATAATGCAGTTAATGATAATATGGCAACTACAACATATGATCAGTTACATTCTTTTTCATTCTTGCAATATTTAACAATCATTTTCTCCATTCTTTATAACTCCATGGGGGAAAAAAAAAGATTAAGAGGGCTTTACAGCACTTGAACAGTCTTTGAAACCTTGTTACAGCCTTCCATACATTAAATAAGATTTTCATTTCCCATTTACAAAGACGCCGTGATCGCTGACAGCGTTGCAACTTTTTTGAAGCTGCGTAAAATTCGTGGGTATCCAAACAGCCGTAGTTTGCAAGTCAGTATACACATGCTGTTTTGCAGAAGTATTGGCAGAACCAGAGTAAACCAGCTTGGAACACCTCAAACACAAGCAATTCATTTGCAGCCGAAGGAGGTAATGCCACGTACTTTTGCGACCCTCTGCCGCTTTCTTGCTTCCAGCCCTGGGAAGGACATTTCACAACCGCGAACTTAGACCAATTCTTTATAGATATTGTTGGCCTCGTTTCTCGCTGCTTCTTCCGCTACCAAGCAAAGCATCGCATTTTTACGAAATACAGGCCGAATTACCTGAAAACCTGTAATAATCCCCAGTACCACTGGGTGGTACTAGCTGTCTTCGGGTGAACGGCCGAGCTGAGCCGGGAGAGGAGCCCGCGACGCTGGGCTCCGCCAGAGGCCGGCCTGGGCGGGAGCCCTCTGCGGCCGGCAGCGTCCCACACCGCCTGCAAACCACGCGGGTTTTACGGAATCCACAATTTACCGCGGTCACAGCTCGTGTAAAGGGCTGTGGATACCCTGCAGATGGTCTCTTGCCGTCCGCGTAAGCTATAGTTCCTCTCGAGAGGGCAGAGCGTGGCGATGCGTGGGTACCGCTGCCCTCGTGCTCGTTTGGTGGTTCCAGCACAGCTGAGAACATCCTCTTCCAAGTTAAAAAAGAAAGCTTTGCTAGGCGCAAATACCAACCGGAACCCCATGAACGAAGACGTTCTTATATGGTAGTCCCAGTGAGATATGCAGCAAAGTATGTAGACACATATGCTTTTATTCACATTTTTGCAACTTCAGTGTTATATAATTGCAACCTCACATATATAACTGGCACTGCTCTTTAATCCCAAAGAAACGCTTTTTTTAGGAAGTACATCTCTTCCCAAGCCAAAGAGCTTCAGTTACTTTATCCACTGCTGAGCCTGGACAGACAGCTCACCAGCACCGGTACGCAGACGGTGTCAATGTTATGTTCACAAGCAGAAATACTGAGTAAGCTGTGCTTGGCCCCAGCAGGGTCAATAGGGCTCCACAGGTATCTTCCAGTTTGCAGAAATCTTATTACTAGTGATAGACAAGCTGGGAAAACACAGCTTCCATCTCAAACTCAGCTAGAGCTTGGGACCTGAAGTTAAAAAGGCATCTTTCTACTTCTAAACTGAAGAAATAGTTACAGAGTTATTGGAGAAAGCTAAACATAAAAGTAATATACACCCTTACAAGCGCTCTAAAACAGGTCAATGAGTCTTATTACAGATTATAAAGATGTGCCGAGTGTTGTCAGTTCTTGCCAAAGTAAGTGACTTTAAAATCTTAACAGACTGAGGACATTTGTCTCAAAATCACATATAATTCTTTCACACTGCTGGAGCGGTAAGCCATTTCTGTAAGCTTGACCGCACTGTGGCTCAAGTGAGGGGCATTTTTTTCTGCCAGAAGCTGTGGGGAAAAAGTGAACTATATAAGGAGTGGTTTGTTTAGCAACAGGGAGATGCTGGATTAGCAGCCAGCAAACTGTTGTAATGATCCATCACAGCAGCTGTGTGGCCTCACTATCTTGATCCATTAACCGCACCAAAGTTTCAGCATCCTCTCTAGCATAGGTCAGTTAGCTGATGCTTAAAGCACCATCTAATCATGCTGTGCAGGCTTATGCTTCAGGGCTGAAATTCAGCATTACAGCCAAAGATAACCTGTTCAGGCTTTGGAATTCTACGTGCTTTTGTTCTATACTGAAGAATGCATTTGTTTGACATTGTAAACCAAGCCAGAAGCAGCACAGAAACCCTGTGACCATCTCGCCGATTTTGGCTTCCCCTTCATCTCTGAACATTGAGACTGTGAGCTGCACTTAAGGGGTGCTGACTATCTGAAAGCCAAGTTGCCTCATACAGCCCCTGCCTGCAATTCAAGCTTGGTCCAAAGACTTTTTTTCAGTTCTTCCCCCCTGAAGGGCCCAGGGTCAGCAGCAGGACTTTCCCTCCTGAGCTGCTATTAGAGCTGGAGTTGGTGGAGTTCCAGCACATGTACTTAAAACACATTTATGTGATTTGGCTTCTGTGCAGTTCCCCCCTACACATGCACTCTCTGCAAAATGGGCTGTAATTAATGCTACTCAGTGCACTGTGGATATCTTTATTTAATTAGCGTTGTTAAATTACATGGCAAAAAACAATTGCTCCTCTCCTTTCATGTGCATGAAGGGTCCCACAGACAGCAGAACCAGTATCTTCCTGGGAAGCAAACTTTTATGACATGAGACAGGAATTGCACATTCCTTAACACACCACAGACGGTCTCTACAGACCCCATGTGTGACTGGAGATGAAGCAAGAGTCTAAAAAGCATTGAATTGCAGTTCCTCTTAGAGCAAGGTCTAGTACATTGATGATTTCTTTCAGCCCTGTTGCTGGGTCACTGCTGTCCTGAACAAGGATTACTTTTTGTCCTATTTCTTTCCTCACTAAATTTATTTCCAAATAATAAGTTTGGACAATGTGCAGAGGAGTCGTCGAGTGTCCAATTCGCATGACAATGGGAGACCTATCATTCAAAACGATGAGTAGGAAATAACTTTTGGGCACATTTTAAGATTCCATTATCTTTCTCAAAACATGTTCTCACTAATGCATCCTACTTTCCAGGAATGCAGATTTCAGTACTGCATCAATGTTATCAGCTTGCTTGATACCTGAATAAAATAACTTTCCTGCAAGCATTTAACTACTGAAGCTGGGTATTTTATTACCCTTGTTTCCTTTACATCAAACTGATCTTCTCTAAGAGCTATCTTTCCCTGGTTTAAAAGTACTGGTTCCGCTCCAGCACATTGAGTCATTTTATTCTGTAACACAATTGTACGGTGCAAGGAAATGAGAGGGGGGGCTTCTCCATCTGGCAGATGATCCTCAGAAGTGGAAAAGAAGATGTGCAGGCTTATGCTATTAAACTTTTTGAGTTCAAATGGAATCCAGCTGTTTGGGATCCACAACATTCTTGCAGCTTAACTGCTCACAGTATGTATACTTGCAATCCCTTTATTTTTGTTTTCTTTAATTGTTGGGTCCTGAGATCATAAACGCCTCAGTCTTTCAAATGTGAAGTGCAGCTCTTGGTAATTTGTTCTAATCAACCACAGTAAGAAATGTCTGCTCCATAACCTTGAATGCTTTTTCTCTCCCCTGACAACAGAATAGACTTCTTGCAAAAAAATAAACATCTGGTTTGAATTGAACATCAAATTGCAGTTACTTTAAGTGCCAACTATTAAATTACCTCAAATGTTTTATGTTTGAACATGATTTTTCAAGACAGCCAAATTTTTTAACTGTAGCACAAATGTACCTGTAAAATTACTTTAGAAGGTTAATTCCCTTGAACACACTTTTTTTTTTATCATGTGTAGCTTGGTCACTCTTTTTGCTTTCGATTTACAGAAATTGTTATTCACAAAGGTTTTTATATACCCAAATATGCCTCATCAGATGGTAAGAGGAAGAAAAGCTCTATCTAGAACTCAGGGACTTGATTCTGAACGCTACAACATATGGAGGGATTGTCAAGACTGTCCAGAACCCATTAAATCAAGCCAGAAAATCACATGGACCAAGATTACAGTCTGCATTTTGATCAGGAAGCTAAACATTAAAATTCATATCTAAGACTTCCCTCATCTGAAAAACCAACCCCCTGTCTTTATCTAGCACTATTTTCTGGTAATGAGTCTTACAGTCTGATTTGCATGACAGCATTTCAAATTTACAGCTTTACATAAATGTTGCTATTTTTCTTAAACTATCAAGCTCTTGATCCACCACATTTTTGCAAGAGAGATTTTTCTTTTTTTTTTCTTTATTTTTAAGTATGCTTCCAGCCCTCTCAGTCACAGGGAATTTTTTAAGATAGAAAACAGGACAATTTGAACTATCGAAAACAAATTAAAATGAGCACCAAGTCCTCTGTTTTGCTAATGCTTGCAATTTCTGTATGACTGGAATTGACAGTGTTGCTGAGGCTGTTTTATGCTGCTCCAGGGAGGAAAAAAAAAAGTGAATATTTTATTCACTGTGAGAGGGCTCTAAAAGGGCACAGGGGATGTGTAAATGAAAACCATTTTTGTATTCCCTTCAGTATTTCTGCAAAACCCTCCTCCAAAACAAAACAGAGTAATTGCAAGTGCAGACCAATACTATCATTGTTTACTTCTTCTTCCCAGACACTGATCAAAGTGAAACTACAAGGCAAATTGACGCAAAAAAAAATTCAATTAAAAGCACAGATGACTGCAGCTGGGCAAATTGCTGGCAATTACTCTGGTGACTTCTAAATTGGACGTGACCCAGTGTCAGTGGTTGTCTATGCTTGTATTTTTACCGAAGGTGATTGTAATTGTTGTGATGATATGATTACTCCAAGGAGGAAGTAGTAATTACAAAGGTGGGGCCACCTGATCAGAAGTTTCCATGTTATTTAGTTGGCTATTTATAATACCGACTGTGGTTTTAGCTATAATATTTGAATACTAAAACACAGATCAACCCTCAAATTCACTGAGAAACAAGACGAAAGCTTGATCGTAACAAAAATCTACTGAATTGTTTCAGGTACTGCATGGGAAAAACAGTGACTGTTTATGGACAGTAGATAGATAGGAAGAATTACTTAATTTACCACATGTTGGTTGCCAAAAGTGATCTAAACAGGTTTAAGAGTCACAAAGCTGAAATCCATCAAAGACTATCAAGAGGACATTTTCATTTTGGGGAAACAAAAAACCCTGACTAACCAACCCCACCATTGCTAGACGTTCAAAGTGTCTAGACAATGAACATATTTGATTTTCACCTAATGAACTTCAGCAGCGCATATACTTCCATGTATGTGATTAGGGGAAAACCAGACATACCTTCAACTAGCAGTTCTGCTTGTACCTTGGGTGAAAATAGCTTCAGTTACTACTTAAATTATGCAAATGGATATGGCTGAAAGTTAAGACACAGCATCACAGAATCACAAGTGAAGAGGTGAGCTTGGAAGAGACCTCTGAGGTCATCTGGCCCAACCCTTTGCTTAAGCAGGGCCCCTTAGAGCCAGTTGCCCAGGACCGTGTCTAGGCAGTTTCTGATCATGTCTGAATGGTTCTTGGAGTCAACTCCTCACTAATTCCATTCTTAAACTTCTTTATTTTGACAAAGTCATTTCAGTTTGTTACTTATTAGCAAAACTTTGCTGATAGAAAACATGGTGAAAACTGTTTGGTTTATTTAAGTACTTTGAAAGAGTTGAGGTGTTATTTATGTTCTAGAGGAAAACTGGATCAGGAACTAACATGAAAATTACTGCCACAGAAACAACACAACTGCAAGGAAAATATTAAGTGGGGAGGTAAGTCCTGGAGGCAGTGCCCCTTCTCATCAGAAGGGCCATAGGGCTTTCAGCCCGAGCTGAGAGCTGAAGTGTTCTGGGACCAGATGTGGTGACTAATATGTGGGTACTCAAACAGACACGCAGTCAATGCTGTTTGCACCTACATATCCTAACAAGAAGAAAAATGTATTCCCAAATACCTATTCAACTATCTAAGCCGGTTTTAAAAACAGTATTAATTACTTTCCTTCCACTTTTCCTCCAAAATTCATCCGCCTGTTTAGTGTTAATAGTAAAAAACCAGAAGAACAAACAACTTTAAACTCCTAGTTTTCAGCTCAGATGTGTTACTATTTTTTGAAAGCTGTGCTGAAGTAAGCCCCAGGTTTCAGGGAAGCCTCTCTGCTGCAGCTTCCTCAAGCAGATTCCTCTCAACATAACCCATAAGCGTAGGCAGGCCCTAAGGATCTGAGGCATGTTAACATGTTAAAATGTTTTCCTGTTGAAATAATTTGTGGAAATCTATTCCAGTTGAAGTTATGACATAATTATGGAATAGCATTCAATATCTGAGCAGGATTATTTCACGACTTTGCCACACAGGAGCCTACAGTCAGTCTTTAAACCAAATATCATCTACTGAACTGGATATGCCTCGAGCAACAGGGAGGTT